TCGCGATGCCCTCTCATTGCTATATTTTGTTTTCCACATAATAGAACAGTTTCAACGATAGGTCTCAAGCGTTTCCTATTTTCTTGAATTTGATCTCGAAGTTAATTATCGAGAAGCGCCTTAGGTGAGAGTGATTTATTACATTACTTACATTACTAAGAAAGAACTGAATACATAGCAAAATCTCTACAGCTTTTTTATATCTGAATACTAATTAAGGGGTTTTCATACGTTTGCAGAAAATTTTCCGCATCAGCAAGACTTTTTTGATGATAACGATTGCTTTCGTGAACGCCAACATAGCCGGTCACATCAAATAATCTATAGTAAACAAGTGCATAAACAAATGAAACAGCTAAGAAATGGAGAGAAACTTGCCTCGTATAACTATCACATGGTGTCGTTACAAACATTCCTAAAGATCCAGAAGAGGAAGCGGCTAATAGTGCACAAGGTACACAAAAAAGACCACGTTTTGAGGGAGAGTATTTCATCCACTTGTACTTTGTCAAATGTTCAGCACGTAAATATCGCTTTTCCGTTCTGTTTTTTGATTGTCTCTCAGGATAGGGCCAAACAAAGTTTGATGATGGTGTAAAATGTTTTGATAATAGACGATAACGTGTTTCGTCATCAATTCTTTTTCCAATATGTAAACCAACATCATTTTCGATATGAGGTATCTTTTCTGGATTAATATTATGAATAAGTCGTATTAGACCATCATTTCCACTGTCCTTAATGATGTCACTTGTTGTTAATGGAACATCATTCTTTTTCTCTGTCGAAACGTTATCAATACAAGGATCACCTTGTTTTTGTTTTTTGGAGAAATACGAGGATAATACAGTTTGATTAAGACGTTTATTAGAACTGATGTCAAACATGTTACTGATAGAAAGAAAAGGCAGTGTATAGAATAATACGACTTTTCTAATGCAGCTTATCACGATTTTCCTTAACTATGTACTTTTTAGATGAAAGGAAAGTTTATCGTGTTTGCTAGTGTGAAAGTAAAGTTGGTAAAATTTGACTTGTATTAACTTAGTAAAAGCCCATCAGAAAAGATCTATTTTAACTTAACATTGTTTTTGCTGTATTCGTATAAGTGTATGATATACTAATACAGCAAAAGCAATGGATGGAATCAACGAAGAGGAGGAGGGTACTATCGAATTGACAATATCTGATGAAGATGAAAATGAAGAAATGAAAACTATCGAGAATCGAAAACTATCGAACCAACTATCAGATATTGGAAGAACAACAGAACAACACTCAGAAATTAACGAAATGGATGGAATCGACGAAGAGAAGGAGAGTACTATCGAATTGACAATATCTAATGAAGATGAAAATGAAGAACTGAAATAGACAATCACTTTATCAAAACAAGGATCACTATCTAATGAATTAGTTGAATATTGTACGACATAACTATTTGACAATTGTCTTTTA